TAATATGGGTTTGTGCTCATTTTGTTTTTTTGGGGGACGGGGGCTCAGGTTTAAGAAGGGCACACGGGTTGCACACCCCCTAAACCCTAAACCCTAAACCCTAAACCCTAAACCCTAAACCCTAAACCCTAAACCCTAAATTTTAAACCCTAAACCCTAAACCCTAAACCCTGCGAAACATACCCCCGAAACATACCCCGCAACATGCCCTCGAAATTGCAGTTAGAGTAGATCATGATGCCGCGAACATACCCGAGACAAACCCCCGAAACGTACCCGCGAAACATACCCCGGCCCCGACCCCCTGTTATTGCGCGCCTCCCCATTAAAATACAAGCCCATATGCCTCTTTTGTCCAGGACCGGCTGCTGCTCCGCCCCGCTTGCGGCCGCGGCCCAAATTGAACCTAGGGTGTTGGCTATGTGGGGCTTCCTGCAAGGTTAAGTTTATGATTTTTGATGGGATACATTTCAGGCTTAGGGTTTGAGGGCCAGGTGCTCGAAAGAGTGCTTTGACATGGAGCTATAAACCTCAGATCCCCACCCTTTCTGGACCCCCTAGGCCTTCCAAACACCTCCCCGACCTGGACCCCCTCTCAGTCACACCGGGGTCCGATTCCCAAAGCATAAGTTCAGTGGGCTATGACCCCAGCAAGACACCCCCAAGTCTAAGTGGCAAGAGAATGGAAGTCAGCGTGCGACAATCAGAAATTCCGTCAACATCCGTCCACAACCTTCAATCTTTGGAGCCCAAGCATTGTACTTAGGTCCTTGCAACAGAAGCCGCCCTTGGCTGAGAGTCTGTTGAATCGCGAGCTTGCGTGTTCATGTCAATTTGGTACCTGGGGTGGTAACGCTGGGTCTGTCCTAGTTATTGACACGTCTTGGATAGTCAAAACCTTATCTTTATGCGGCAACGCTTGTACCTACCCCCCTGTTCTCAGGCTGTGCCTTCTGCCTGCCTGCTACGATGACTCACGAGCCTGCTGCTCAGATCTCCAGGTTCGTCGTTTAGGGATGAGGGCACCCGCGGTTCCCTCTATGGCCCAGCTCGATTCGGATTCAGGGGTGGCTGCCAGGGGTTAGGGGTGCCTCACGACCGGCTCATTTTTTGAGAATTCAGGGACTCACCCACAAGTCACGGATGCCTGGTTTTTTGGGGTGCCACCCTAACAGCTCCTGAGCAGCAACCTTAATATTCTCTGCTGCTGACCAGTGTGCTACCCAGTTCATTTCCTGTTCAATCAATTCTCGCTGACAATAAGTGGTCCAAGTTACACTAAGCCCACTGAACCCGACTCCAAACAGCAAACCCGTCCCTGGCTGAAACATCTATGGTTCTGCGCTTGCACCCAACAGTGACCCCACGAACCTATATTCAGTCGCCATTGCACTTTGTCAGGGTACAACGTAGCGTTCCATGATAATTCACCGTTGGCGCCTGGTCCAGGCGATAGGTTTCTGGTTGCGAGAGGAAGGCGATTGATACAGATTTCGGGGTCATAGCCTTGACGCCTGTTGAACGGCGTAGATTTTGGTTTGCCGCCTGGACCAGGCGATAGGTTGCTTGCCCTCGTAAACCTGACCAAGCCTTAAATTTTTCAACCCTGGCGAGTTCGTGATAAATAATAGCGCCATAACCGTTCGTATGGCCTAGCCTGGGAACGCGTGCCCTCGATGAACATCCTCGCCTGAAGTCGAATCATTGAACCAATCCCGGGAACTCCCAGCACAACCTTGCCTTGTTGGTTTGTTGTGAGGCAGCGATGGCTGTCAGCATGCCATCGTCCTGTTAAAAGTATCCAACAGGCTCAAACGTACCTCAAATGTACCTCAAATGGCCCTCAAACTGCATTTTACTGTGGCCTCAAACGTACCTCAAACGTACCTCAAATGTACCTCTAAATAAACGGATGTGCAGCTGGTGTTGCACAGCATCTTCGGAGAATATGTGGACCAATGTCGCCATGGTAGAGAGAGGCCATGTGCTGGAGTCACGTTATTGTCTTCAAGCTGGATCCAAGCGTTTGATGGCGTGAAGCCGATCTGGGCCTTGAAGGTCAAGCTGGCGCCGTCGCCTCCTTTTTGTGTGCTGCCGGTGTGATGGATGATGCTCCGCATTGCCAGACGACTGCTGCCTGCGAGAGGCACTTGCGTATTTGCAGCGTTGGCCACGCTGATTGCGTGCGGTGTCTCTTCGCTGCAGGAGCCCGCTCAACTGTGTCATGTTCTTTCAATTTCAGAATCAACCCTGCTGATCCCAGCGCCAAAAGTAATAATTACCCTACATTGCAGTGTAGTTCTGATCTTGAGCTTGGCCAGCACCTGCCAGGATACCTGGGCCGGCTGCGCAAAAAGTCCAAGGGGCTCGCCGAGGCGAGCGAGGAGTACTCTTGGAAATCGAAATGCTGCTTTCTCCACCCGGTGACACAGAAACGGCATTCCTGGTTGATGTGCAAGCCTGATGCTTGGAGTTCTGAAGCAGACTTTTCAGTTGGCTGCTGGGTCTGCAACGCTGCTGTTGCAAAAGTTGCTTTTGCGCAGCTTTCGGTGTCTTCACGGTCAGCGATTCAGATCGGCAACTTGAAGGCACATGCGCAGCATGGGTGCCATGCCAAAGCTGTGGAGCTGCTCCGCGAAGTGACCGCCGAGACTGGTCCGCAGGAGCTGGAAGCAGCTGTGGCTGGGCCCGTGAGCGGGCTGTCTGACAAGCTTCCGCGGCTGGATCGTTGGGTGCAAGCGCTGGAGTTGGTAAAGCAGCGTGGGGCGTATGAGCAATTTTCTGGCTTGGTTCAATCGCAGGCCGTTGGTTCTTCACTGGTGCCGGGCGGTGATGACAGCCCTCATGTTGCCAGGCGGCTGATTTTTTCCATGGCTGAGGTCATTTCGCAGCGAGACAGGGAAATCTTGAAGCAGGCGATTGCATCGTCTATCGCGATTGACAAGACGAAGGATTGGCTGCTGCTTTACATTAGAGTCTTAGTCAAGCAAGGCATCTACGACATGTTGGGCGGCATCCAAGGGGACACTGGCGGGGATGTGCCAGCTGTTACTGCGGCTTTGAACAGCATCTTGAAGCGGATGTGCACTGAGCCGAAGGGCCGTCGAGCGTCGAATGGGTCTGTTTATGAGCATGAAGAAGATCGCTTCCGAGAGGATGCTTGCTGAAATATGTCTAGCTAAAATATTAATATCATTCGTCCAGTAGCTCATTCAATTCTAATGTAGATGGAAATAGTTGCTTGGCTTTAATTAGGTGGGGTGCTGTCGTGCAGTTATTGTAGCTCAGGACATCCTGAACGGCTTTTCACGCTCCGTCGTTTCTGCTGTTGCTGATGGTGGGCCAGTGGAGCAGCGCGTGCTCTTCGACTCGCGCGAGTCGCAGTTCCCAGGCTTGCTCATGGTCTCGAGAGACCGGCCGCACCGTGTCCGGTCTGTCCAAAAAGGTTTTTGGGCCAATGCTGGGGACGATATACGACGTGTCTTAGACGACCTCATCACCGGCCCTCGGTCCTTCGCAAGGCTCATGGAGACGTCGAGGAAGTTCTCACTTATCTTCGAGAGGAAGCAGAGGGAGTTCAGGCGCGCGCACTCCGCAAGCGAGTTTGCGAACACGTTGCGCAACCTCCAGTTCTCGGAGGCTCGTTTTGACTCCAGAGTGAAGCCACTTTATCGCGTCTTCAGATTGCTTCCCGTGTGTATAGACACACTGGCCGAGATTTCTTCAAGTCCGGACTCAGAGGACAAGGTTTGGGCCACATCGCTACTCGAGTCTTGGGCTGGAGATAGTAATTTAACACTTTCGCTTGTGGTTTTCCTGCCAAAGCTCCCAGGCCTTGCCAGGGCCTCCCGGCCAGTTGGCAGTCTTTGTTGGGCCTCCAGACCTTTTAGGCTTGTACCATGGCCAGAACAGTCCTGTACAGTCATTAACTTTCGCTGTGGTTTTCCTGCCAAAGCCCCCAGGCCTTGCCAGGGCCTCCCGGCCACTTGGCAGTCTTTTCAGGGCCTCCAGACCTTTTCAGGCCTGTGCCATACCCAGAACAGTACTGTACAGTCATTAACTTTCGCTTGTGGTTTTCCTGCCAAACCCCCCTCCAAGGGCCTCCCCACCACTTGGCAGTCTTGTCAGGGCCGTCAGGGCCTCCAGACCTTTTCAGGCGTGTACCATAGCCAGGACAGTACTGTACAGTAACCGACGTCGAATGTTTGTGGCTTGCAGCCCCGACAAAAAAAACAAAAAAACCTAAACCTTATGTCTTATGTAGACCCATATGGCACTCCGCAAAGTGGTTATGGGCAGTTGAAGTTGAAGGATGGGGAAAGCATAGTGGCGGTGGTGGCCATCGTGAGCTGCATTGCAAAGCAGTATGAGTTCTCCTATGTTGATGCGCGGACGTCGCGTGCGAACATCTTTGTAGTTACTGGTTTCTCGGGTTTTTTTTTCGGCCCCAGCCCCAAACACTTTTCGCTTCAAATGGAACTGCGCAACACCTCAAGGTACTGCCGCTCGCAAAAAAAAACAATCCCGGAACAAATAGCATTCATCATAGGTGTCAATAGTGCCACGTGAGAAACACCTCAAGATCATCATTATCCTGAAGCCTGAAGTGTCTTGCAGCGATTTTTCGATTTGATTTAAGCCTCGGCTGGACGGCTGGACCTGGAGCCTGAATTTTCTTGATTGGGTTGTTCAGCTGTTATGGTTGAAAAGCATTCAGAAGGTATCATGTGCTATCAAAAAAGAAAGCTCAGTGCATTCTAGCGGCAGACGGCAGACTCTAGCGTACGAGACAATCGCGTGGTTGCATGTCCAGTCAGTCCAGTGCAGCTGAGGACGCTGTAGACTGTAGTACTGTAGAATCAGTCTTTCCAGACAGCAACATTCCATTTTGCTTCCCAGTGACAGATCTGTAGAGCATGTGTCCTTGCTAGGGTATGGATGCTGGGGCTGGGAAACTGTCTGGTTAGACTTCCAGAAACAGGGTTCTTGCCTGAGTGGCCATGGCAGGTTCAGACGTTCGCTGCATGTGGCTTGCTACCATGTGGTCTCGGTCACTGGTAGGCACCCGTCGTGTTACCGACAGCACGACTGACAAGGATTCACATGACTTGAGCCTCACCTCTGAGTTGATGCGAGATTTTTATCAGGCACAGCGAGTCACGGGACTTGAGGACTTGCCCTCCACCGGTTGCTTCATCGTAGGCGCAGTTGCTTTGCGACCCAGGGAACGGTATACTCATCGTGGCAGCTCCAAACTGGGTGAAGCAGTGGCGACCCAAATCAAGCATTGGACAGTTCTTGCAGGGCGGCCTTTAGACCATTTTGCGTTGCTTTTCGAAGCTGTAGACGTGGTTTTGCTTGAAGAGCGTGTCGTTTGGAACACGATTGCGGGTCGTCGCGGTGGCTGTTTCGTAGCTCCGCTAGAAGGGGGCCAGGAGACGAGACTACGGCGACACATGCCAGCAGATTGTCCGGGTGTTTTCGGGTATCCCTTTTCTCAAGTGCTTCGTTTGCCGGGCCCATATGTGACTTTGATCTTGGCAAGGCAATGGGGTCAAGTCGTGGTCCCTGATCTACCATGCCGTTGGAATCATGATGAGTATGAGGTTTCGAAGGGCCGAAAGTTTTCTTCTGGTCTGGTGGGGGCTGGGCATCAGTGGGAACGACTTTGGCCTGCTCTGAAAAAATTCGGGGTGCGACCAAAACTGCAAGCTGTAGAGACGAATCGTGCGAAGGAGAACGTGCGAACTGTCGACGTGGTGCATGGAGACCGGGACGTATGGGGGCTCGCAGATTGCATTGCGGCGCTCGGCCACGGCGAGAACGTGCCTCAGGACCAGTGGCAAGACTTCCTTGCAGGCTTGCGGCTGCAGCATGCCGAGTGTGTGCTTCAAGCCTCCAACCGTCATGCCTACGTCGCGCGTGGTGAGCCTGGCATTGCTTTCCATGTGGGACATTTGGTGGAAGTGATGCTTTGCGCGATGTTTTTGAAGAACGAAGATACATTAGGGCAGGCTTTGCAGACTGCAGCATGTGTACTTCTTCCTCCAACTTTGGCCGCAGGCTGGATTAAGAGGTTGCGCGAGGATCCTAGAAAGTATTTGCCGTCCAGCGCGATTCTTTCCCAGCGACGTGCAGCGCTTGACATGGGGTTCGCGCTTTTTCAGCAGTCCAGAATACGTGATGGTTTGGGCCAGGGAGCATGCTTCTACGCGATGACTGACTCTTCCCCTCAGGGTGGTCGTGACTATGAGATTACAGTTCTGGACATGCTTTTGACAACTGATGCACGTGATGTCATGTTCCAAGCTCATGCCTGGAGACAGTTGCTCGGTAGCACCCGTTGTAAGCATCTGTGTGGCTAGGAAGCAGTGTGTTTGTCAACCATGTTCCTGATTGCCTTCCCCCAGGCTTCCTGCAATCCAGCGAGACACTGCGCAGATCATGCAGAGGATGCGCTCCAAGTTCGTGCACATGATTCCTCCACCCTCGACTCTTGGTGGACGGGCTGCCAATGCCTCACACAGACTTTCAGCCTTCCTTCATTCACTTCACCTTGTGTGTGGGAGTTTCCAAACACTCAAGCAGCTGCTGGCAAATCTGGTGAGCATCACTACCGATCTGGGTGTAGAGAGCTTGCTGACGAAGTTGCAGCCTTTTTCCATTTCCACCATCTTGCCTTTCTTCGACCACAGCCCCCAGACAGAGCGAGGTTCTGGTTTTCAGGACAGAGTGCTGAGATCACATGTCCATTGGAAGTCTGGTAGCAAGGTTAGACTCTCGGTAGCAAATCCCCCGTAGCACCCCGACTGCCTGGCCAGGATGCTGCTTTTCGAGTGGTTGCAGAGGATGGCTGGGAAGCGCAGTCAGATGCTGAGGCCTTTGTTCCGGTTGTGGAGGATAGGTTTGGTGACATGGGCTCAATGGGCTCTCCAGACTTTCCCGAAGCCGATGCAGGGGACTGCGTTTCTTTGCGAGCTAGCTTTGGAGTGGGTGGGTTGTTGCATGTCATCCACAATGCTGCCAAGGGTCTGGGGGCTTGCATGAAATTCTACGATGACATCGTTGAAGACATGGGTGTTCTTTCCAAGTTCCTTCGTGAGCGTCACTCCAAAGAAAGGCTGATATCCAAGTGTTTTTCGGTTGGCGATGCAGCAGGGGGGCCAATCAGAAGCCGAATTGAGACGTTTGCTGCCCAATGCTACAAGGAGCGCTGGGGAACTGTTGCAAAATGCGCCCTGGAGCTGCACAAGGTTCTCCCTGCCTTGCGATTGGGCTGGAATAAAGCCACTTATGTGGAGGGCACTGCCCATGGCAGGGGTGCCAACCCTGGGGAGTCTGCCCAAACTGTTGAAAGGGTTGATGGTCTTGTGTCGAATCTGTGGTTTGAGTCGTACCTCCTCATGCTGCAATCCTTTTCCAGGCTCGTGATGCACCTGATTGCTTGGGCCGAGAGCTGCCCATGCCATTGGCAACTGTTGTCGGGTCCTGAGGTCGAAACGCTTTCGAAGTCAGACAGGCGCCTTTTAGAAGAATGCCCCATGCGCACCAGGCGCGCCCCAGAGCTGGCCCTGAATGATTTCATGCAAGAGGTCACGGGGTTCTCGCAAGAAGCAGCGACACAGTTGCTGCAGAATCTTCCTGTGGATTTGTCTGGCCAAGACCGTGCGAAGTTGCTGCGTGATTTCGAGCTTGGGCGATCGTATCTCACCATGGTGTTGACGTTGAAGACCTCGCACTTTCGAAACTTCCCTTGGTCAGCTGCAGGGCTTGCTCATCACGAGCAAGATCGAGCGCGTGAGGTTTGGGATTCTTTGCGCACGGCACTTCAGGCAGGTGGGGATGTAGCGGAAATGCTCAAGATACGATTGCCTCGGCTGTTGTCGGATGAAGTGCAGAGGCAAGGGGACCAGTGGTTCAATGGTGCAGACATGTCTTCATGCCCTCAGTTTGCGGATGTTGTGGCCTCACTTGCAATGGTGCCTGTCGCGGAGAGAAGGGTGGAGGCCCAGCATGCCAGAACTCAGAAGGGCTCCAAGAAGAGCCCCCACCATTCTCCGGCTTACATGTCACTGCAGTTACGAGCCCGCGAGCTGCAAGAGCAAATCAAAGGGGACCCGAAGGAAGTTGTTGCTGTGTTGTCGCCTTTGGTGTACCGATGCCGATCTTACAAGAAAGCCTGCGAGAGCATGAAACTTGTCAAGCACCCACACATTCTCCATGGCTTGAAGTGCAAGCGTGACAAGGTCCTCCGGGATGCCCTGTACCGTGCCGACATTGCCAGCCAGCATCACCCGTTGCCACAGGTCTTTGTTGCAGAGTTTCGCGGCCGAGGGCCCCGAGCATTGCCTCCTGCAGAGGCTTTGGACACTTCAAACTTGAGGGGTGTGCTGCATCAACTCGCTTTGGAACATGCCATGAGTTCTGTGCAGCATTTACGTCAGCAGGAAGGAGCTTCTCCTGTTTTTGCGGTGCGTTACGAGGCACCAGCTTTTTCTTTGCTTCGTGAGTTTCTGTTGCCCGGACGAGCGCATGTCCAGAGCCCCCAAGCACTGACAGATGCACAGCCACTGGAAGCCATCGTGGAAGTCTCCAGCTCCAACCCTCCGTCGGGAGATGCAGACCTTTTGTTTCAAAAGCTGCGGCTAGCGGAGCGAAGAGGGGGTGAAGTCTCTCTTGTTTTTTTCCAGTTGCTCCCCAACATGCATCAGATGAAAAGGTTTCGCGCCGAAGGCGAGCGACAGTTCCAGGTGTCAGACTTTGCAATTGCACTCATGAGGCCCGTGTACGTCAATGCCCCCCAGCGTGAATGCCTCTTGGATTCTGAGCTTCTGAGCATGCGATCCATGCCCGGGGGGTTGCGTGTGGACGATGTTCCGTGTGTGATGTCGTTCAGCAACATGACCCTGGAGCAGCTGAAGTCTCTGGTTGTTTTAGATGCGACTTCTGAGGGAGTGTATTGCTTGCGTACTCGTCCTGCCTTGCCAAATGTCCCAGAGCAGGAGAAAGTCTTGCGTTCCTTGCTGAAACAGATTGCTCAGTGTGGGCACGCTGGCCTGGCCGACGTGTCTGCTCTTTCGGCCGACGAGAAAAAACTGTTGACAGGTCTCCGTGAGCATGGCCTTGTGACGCAGGATCACCCTTTGAAGTTTACCGATGCTGGCAACCAGCAGCTTGTGCTGGCCACTCAGGTGTCAGAGCCCAGGAATCTGCTTGCAGACATGGAAGTTGATGCAGCCGATCAGTCCAGGTGGCAGCTGCTGCAGCGTTTGATCAACAATTCTTGGGAGGTTCGAGTGTGCAAGGCATCCGCGTGCCGTGCAGCTGATCCTTACAAAGTAGCTGAGGGCGACAAGGTGCTTTTCTTGCCACAGACATCAAGTGGAGTAGCTTGCAGCAAGATGTACTTGCTGGCTTTGACCTTGGCAGCAGAACATAAGCTGCCGGTGCCCCATGCACGCCCAAATGCAGTGTACGCTGGCCTCCTTAGTGGGCTAGCCTATCTGCCAGAGAATGTTCGACGGCAGCCTCAGACGCGTGTGTTTCGGGCTGTGTGTGATGGGGAAGACTGGCATGAAGCTAGGCCTGCTTCGAAGCGTAAGCGCACACCAACAGCGAAGCGTGCCCCTGCCATTGCTGCTGGTGCTGCTCCAGCGGCACAGCCAGTTGAGGACATGCCAGCTGACCAGGAGCCCATGGTGGACGATGCAGTCACAGATGATGGGCCTCCTGCGGGCAGCCAAGAGGAGTTGACGTGGCTTCTCGAGCAGTTTGAGGAGTCGGATGCTGTAGCCAGTGATGCGGGTGAAGGGGAGGCTAGAGAAGTCACGGCAGCGTCCTCCACAAGTAGCAGCAGTAGCAGCACCTCATCCTCAAGTTCAAGCAGCAGTAGCAGCAGCGGCAGCGGCAGTGGCAGGAGTAGCAAAGGCAGCACATCCGCTAGACCAAAAACAAAGGCCAAAGCCAAGCCCAAAGCAAAGCGGCAAGAGAAGAGGCCGCGTGAGGAGCATGGCCTCTTGCATCGTGGTCCAGGTGTTGGCGGAGTTTTGCTGGATTCAACATTTTTCTGGCGGGACTGCAAGTTCACTGAAAAGTTCTCGCTAACGGCAGATGGTGTGAGGAATGTGGTTGGTCTTGAAGTGACGTGCAAGCACCCTGAACATGTGAAGTGCCGGCGAACACTAGCATTTGCACGGAACGGCGGCAGAGACAAGGTGATCACTCTTTTGAAGTGGTGGTGCACCCAAGCTCGCCACTATGACACAAAGGACACTCATGTGAGAGAGTGCCCCAAGTCTTTTGGTGACCCAGCTCCCACTGAAGAGGAGCTTGATCAAGTGCCATTTGGATTCTGATTCCAGCAAGCAAAAGGTTGATATGCACCCCGCCCCCTCTTCCCATTTTGGCGTCAAAAAATCATTGTTTTGTTGACGTGAGAACCCCATTGATGAGACCCCCTCCCCATCACCCGCCCCCGCAACCCTGCTCTCCGCTCTCCAGTCCTAGAATCTTGTGACAACTTTGTTTGGTCAGTGTGTTCATCACATCCAGCCGGACATCCGCCGACCAGGTGTGGGATGTGCCTTGAGGCTCGGGTGTGACAAAGGGAGGGTGGGGCAGATGTCAAACGAAGGATTACTTGAAATTGAAAGAACATGTCTTTGGGAAAAAATGGCTTGTGCGCTTTTCACTCGCAAGAACGACAACAGGTCAGAATTTGCTTAGGAGCCCGTGCAGCCCTTTAGGGCCCTTCGGGTTTAGGGTTTACTTTAGGGTCTAGGGCTAGGGTTTAGGGCTTAGGGTTCAGGGTTTAGGGCACCATCAGGCCCCAGACCCTAAACCTTCAATGCCTTTTGTTGGAAGGCAGGCCATCAAGGAATAAGACTTTCTCTTGTCAAGGAAGATGCGAGGATGGGGATGGGAGGTCTCGTCTAGAACGCCTTGGACAACAATGTCCCGGGTGTGCAGTCTCCGCCCTTGCTGTTGCAGACGTGCGTTGGCTTTGTGTTTTGTCCTTGTGCAAAACCTAGCCGTCGAAGCTAAACAACCAATACCTACCAAACCTCTAATGCGAACCCTTGCTCAATAGTGCCTGTTCTGTTTTGTTGTGGGCCCCACTCGGTCGAAAAGGGAACGCCCGCAAAATTTTGCAGGGCATCCATGCAATTTGCTGCGGGTTTGCTTCCCAAATAATCCTTTGGTGCTCCTCCGGTTCCTCCGGTTCTCCTCCGGTTCTCCTCCGGTTCTCCTCCGGTTCTCCTCCGGTTCTCCTCCGGTTCTCCTCCGGTTCTCCTCCGGTTCTCCTCCGGTTCCTCCGGTTCTCCTCCGGTTCTCCTCCGGTTTCCTCCGGTTCTCCTCCGGTTCTCCTCCGGTTTCCTCCCTGGGCTTGCAGAGTTAAGCTCAAGACTTGCAAGCCAAAAGAAAAAACCGCAAAACAATCCTGAACCATCCAGATTGCTTCAAAAAATCCATGTGGCGGCAGAAGAGGGCGCACTTTTGGTCCGGGGTTCACATTAATGCTTCTTGGGCCCGCAGAAAGGATTTTGAGGGAGCTGAAGCCGCCTCGACTGTGTCTACAAAGAACACGTCAACATTCCTGTTGATGTAGGGTCGGTTCCTGGAATGCCGGCAATCGAAGCAAAAGCTAATCCCACTTGCGTTGCAAGTGGGCGAATGTGTTGCCTCTTGTTGTGCAGCGGTGGCCAAGTGCCACCCTTGAGACCGTGACTTGATGCCCTCCAGGCAACGCTACCAATGGGGCAGTTTCGGGGGGAGGGGTGTAGCCGTTATTCTTAGGGTTTTTCGCGTTTGGGACAAGTTTAAAGCACTATTCTTAGGGTTTTTAAGGTTTAGGATAAGTTTGAACCGTAATCCTGAGGCTTTTTCAGGTTAAGGATAAGTTGAAAGCAACACTCTTAGGTCTTTTAGGGTTTAGGATAAGTTTGAACCGTTAAGCTTAAGGTTTTTCAGGTTTAGGATGAGTTTACAGCACTATTCTTAGGGTTTGTTAAGGGTTAGGATATGTTTTAACCGATTTAGGGCAGCTTTGAACCGCCATTCTCAGGGTTTTTTCAGGTTTACATGTTAGTGATGTGTGATGTGGCCAACCAGATTCTTTGCTGAGATCAGCGAGCACCGAGTGCATGTCAACTGAGCAAGGCGCACACGCACATGTCAGCAAACGTAATGTTTCGAACTTGAGTCCAGCAGCTGCCATTCGGGATGAGTGGCTTCACTTTCAGAGAGCTGTGGTCTTTTCCACGGCAGATGGTTCAGACTGTCCGGAGTGATGCAGAGATGCGCTCCCGCTTGGAGCAGGTGAAGAATCGTGGGGTGAAATGCAGCAGCCTTTGCTCGGGTATAGATGCAGCAGGCGAAGCGTGTCGCCTAATACAGCTGGCTGTTGCAGAAGCCGAGCAGACTCAGGCCTCTGCTGCCTGGATCCTGCCAATGTCGTTCTGTGATCATGGCAAACATCAGAAGGCTTTCCTGCAGGCGCGAGCCAATGCGTTGCCACACAGCCCTTGTGTGTTCGGTGCGCTCCAGGATCGTGTTCCTGCTGAAGTCAAAGCAGAATGTGGGATAGGCAGCTTCAAGTCAGAGTCAAAGACAAAGGGCGGAGGCAAACGCAAAGGTGGAGGCAAAGCTGACAGGGCAGAGGTCATGGCGTTCTTCGAAAAGGCTGCTTCTTGGATGAAAGTCCATGGTGACCAGGCCTTCCCGGCGACAGCCTCCTCTTGGTGCTACCAGCATGAAGACAATTGCAGAGTTCGCCAGTCACGTGACATGCCCTCGCGCCCCACCTCACATGATCTGCAAGAAGGGCCAGACAGTCACGACGCCTTGCTCATGTCGATAGGTGGGCTTGCGTGTGTGGCCTGGTCCAAGGTAGGTCTGAGACTGGGAAGTGCAGATGTTCTGTCCGAGGAGGCCTATCAAGTGTGGCTTGCCGAGCGCAGGCAGTGGGCTTTGGAAAGGGTCGAGGACATGTTCCTCTTCGAGAACGTCCCACAATTCCCGGTCAATGAGAAACTCAGGGAACCGCTGAAGGACACTCACGATGTCATCGCTTTGAACATCTCTCCGCAGGACTGGGGTTGAAGTTTGGGGCTCTTCTTGTCCTTCCTCCCCGAGAGAAGCAGCGCTAGTCGAGATACTTCTTTTTTCGTGGGAGTCGTTGTTGTTTGTGTGTGTTTGCAAGATTTTTCGGCTTTGTGCAGACAACTGATTGCTCTTGGGGCAGTCTGTAGCTGCCAGCATCATGGACGGTTCATCTCCGCCAGTTACGTCCCGCCGCGCTGCAAGTGACTTGCACCGCAATGACGGGGACAATGCAAGGGACCGGAGCTACTCGTGCTTCCTGGACGAGTGTTGCGAGGAGAAGCTGAGGAACCAGAAGTGGTGTGGCACGCACAAGCGTGCCTATGCGGCCATGTATGCCCAGGCCAAGAAGAATGGGCAGCTTGCAGAGTTCACGGAAACCATGGCGGATGAGGCACGCTGCAAGCTGGCCATGCGGGACTATTGCATGAAGAACCCCACCAGTGCAAAATGGGCCCGCAAGCGGGTCATTGACTTCAGCGCGTACTCGCAAAGTGTTGGGAGGCGTGACTACGACGGCGACATGGATGGCGATTGCCCGATGACCCAACTGGAATTTTTGCATTGGGCGCAAAACACCAAAAGGGTTACAGCGTCCGGTGCCAATAGCTGGTGGTCGGAGATTGAGCAGTCCAACGCAAAGCGTGACAAGAAGGGTCGGGATGCACAGGGGAAACTTGGTGAGCTGAGGCTTTGGATTCCTGGGGCAGCAGAGATGCATGAGAGAAAGAAGGGTCGCTTCGCAACGGCCGCTGTGACTGAGAGCAGCAGAGCGCACAAGAACATGGATGCAACTGCGCTTGCTGAGCTGAAAGACTTCACGCGCCAGCGAGCATTGGACGAGGACTTTCTCCGTGGCAATCGTTTGTGCCCAGATCCGGAAGATCCGAACGCTGCAGCGGCAGGAACAGGGACAGCAAGCAGTGCCAGTACCGACGATGTCCAGGTAGTCAAGGAGAGCCCGCCAGCCAAGAGCGTAGACCTGGGCTTAGAGAAGCCCAAAGTCATCATGAAGCTGCAGGCTGAGTTGAACACAGTGGCTGCGAGCTTGCGCCAGTCGGGTGAGAAGGCTTTCCAACATTGGAAGACTCTCCCAAACCGCGCTTCGCAGGACTGGCGAGGGGATATCAGCATAGTTTTCCAGCGCTTGGGAAGGGCTTTTTGTTTCATTTCTTTGGCAGTTCCTCGTTTGCTGCGGTGGCTGCGCAGAGCTGCTTTGTAAAGCTTGTTCGTGCCTGCAGCATGTGCTCAGGACGAGTCCCTAACAGCAGTGACGGTCCACCTGGACTTTCGGCTCCAGTGCTTTGCGGCGATCTGCGACTACGATGAGAAGGCCATGACCATCATGAAGGAACTGCTTCCTGGCACGACAGAGAAGATAGAGATCAGCGAGCTTCTGAAAGCAAAGCCTTCCATGCTTCCTGTGCCTGAGACCATGTGCGGAGACCTGACGAACCTCACCAAGGCCATGGAAAGCTTCCAACTCATCAAGAACGTCACCACAGTTGCCGAGCTGGAGCTTGCCAAAGAGGCCTGGGCCTCTGCCAAGTCTGCTTTGAAGACCTTCGACAAAGGTTTGGCGCAGGCTGCCAGGGACAGCAAGTCCTTCATCGCACAGAAGCAGAGGGACAGCCAGCGCCAGAAGAAGGCCGACGAGAGGAAGAAGGAACAGGAGACCGTGGAACAGTTCAAGCAGCAAGGTGATGAGCGAGCCCGAAAGCTCCTTGAGTCGCGCAAGGTCAGTGCCAAGCCCGTGTTCAAGACCGCGCAGTTCTTGTACGAGAAGGTGATGCAAAAATCTGCCTCAGACCTTGCCGGTGTGACGCTCAAGGAGTTTGTGCAGCACGATGCTGTCGGCCACTTGGCCGATATGGACTTGCCATGGGTTGCTTCGGAGAAGAAGCACGACAAGTTGGCCAAGTGGGTTGCCGATGCTGTCATCCAGAAGAGCACAGAGGCCTGGGCCTTGAAGTACAAGACCTTGCCGGATTACGCGCAGAAGGGAAGGTGTTCGGCTGCGCTGGAGTCCAAGCACGGGCATGAGCAGTGTGAGGATATGTTCTCAGGGTTTGTTCCTGTCCTTGCCGACTTCAGTTCCATGGGTGGCAGCGCTGACTTCATGAAGACCAACTTCCTGGCCGGCTACGATCCGAAGATGTGTTTCGCCGGTCTGCAAGCGAATGGAGCCACGACGTTGAAAGCTGGCCTCATTGGGGAGGTGCTCCACATGGTCATGCCGCTGGCAGGTTTGATTGCTGCGATGGAGAAGGCCTCCCTTTTGAAGGCGGACACGGTGCTGCCCAGTCCCGAGGCATTCTGTGAGCTTGTGGAGGCCTTGGACTTGAAGGCCGTCACCGAGCTTTGCAGGCATGGCCTGGAGATTTACTATCACAAGCAGTTGCCAGGCGAGCTGCTCTGCGTTCCCATGGGCTGGTTTTGCATAGAAATCTCAATGAACGGCTTGGTGGTGGTCTGCATCCGCAAGGGCATCTTCCCGCAAAAGGCAAGCGAAAAGAGTTTGGACCAGTACAAGAGCTTGAAGGATCTGTTCAAGCGCTGTGGCAAGAAGGTCGAGCGCTACGATCAAGCGATTGCACTCATGACGCCAAAGAGTGACAACTGAGTCTCTGAGAGCTACATGCTCAAGACATGTTGGGGTCCATTGGGGTCCTAAGTCCTGAGATGGCCAGCCTTCAGCGTCTGCAGAGCAGAACTGCACGGCCAAGGCATTCGTAACCGTGGTCAGTGCTCCATGCGTGGGCCAGAATGGGCCAGATAGATGGGCTTCATGAACTTGGACTTAAGCAGCACCCCCCAAAACCTTCATGCATCCCTGAAGCATTCTTTGGCTGAGCGTCTTTTGTCAAAAGCATCCTAAGAACTCGGATTTTTTGCTTGGCTAGTTGGACACTGATCTCAGAATGCCTTGTAGATTTGCTTTGTTGCTGATGCGGGTCGTTCTTTTGATTTGGCGGGTCAACCTGCCCAACCGCGCACGACAGTGAGAGACAGAGATGTCCTGCCCTCATTCTTTTTGTTAGGGTGCACGCCGTATCACGCACATTATATGTACACACATGCACACACACACACACACACACACACACACACACACACACGCACAAGCACATGCACGTGCAGAGGCGCCCCAACACCCGCAGACCGACATATATCAGCAACAATGCACGTGGGAGCATACACACTTCCAACTTCCAAGTGTGCAAGTTCAGGTTGCTACGCTCTTCATAAACTCAAAGCTTCTCAAGCCCTGTCCTTTTTTTGTCGCAGGAGCTTGGATTTCCTTACCATCGGCCGCGTCTTTTCGTGCTTGGCATCAACAAGCTGAGCCTTCAATGGCATGCAGCCCCGCAAGATGAGAATGCCAGATTTCACCAGTTATTTGGCGTTGCTTGCCATGTCCATGGGGATGTTTACTTGAAGGATTCGTGGGCTGCCAGACGGACAGCGCTTGAAGGTCGCATGGCGTTGCGAGGATCGCACCTCTCGAGCGAGGTGCTCACAGAGGAGCCAGCGAACCGCCAGGAACGGCGTGAGATTCTTCTTCAATCTGCGTGCCCTTCATCGCGCAAGCATGGCTTGATGTATGAGAAGTTGTGTTCACAAAGGCCACCTGAAGAGCAGGCCAAGCCATACTTTTCAGATTGGGAGCAGCATCCTGAGATGGGTTGCTGCCAGCCAGGATCCTCGGTTCCGTGCTTCTTGACCCATGGTTTTCCAGTGGAGCACACATCGGCTAGAATGCTTACCATGCGTGAGAGGTATGCTGTGCATGGCTGGGGCACTCTTCCTGATCAGGAATCCCGCCCCTTTGCTTCAGACATCCTCGAGATCATAGCAGGGAGCGGCTGCGCTTCCCAGGCTGCAACTTTCGTGGGCAACAGCATGCACATCCCAACCATAATGGCTGTGATCCTGTACGGGTTCTGCCATGTTTCCAAAGCTGACGTGGCCTGGAAGCTCAACCGAAAGGGCTCCGCGTGGCATTTGGAGACCAGTGCAGGGCACGCAGAAGATCCGATGGCAACAGAGCCATCTCTGCAGCCATCATCTAGTTCTCCGCGCAAGCGGAGGCCTTCAGTGAAGAGCAAAGCCAAAGCTGAGGCTGCGGCGTGGAAGAGAGCAAAGAGCACCACATTTGATGAGTGATGTCTCGAAGCATCACGCAAGGAATCGCCGTGTTGAGTCTTACTGTAGTTCTTCCAGATGTCTGAGCCGAACCGTTTGAAACATATGGTCCGATTTGCGTTCACGTGAGGGCGGGGGGCGCCGCAGGGACCTATCTGTTGACAGGGTTCAGGGTTTGGGGCCAAAGTTTGGGGTTTAGGATTTGAGGCGCTTGAGGCTTGAGGGAGGCTTGAGGCTTGAGGCTTGAGGCCTTGTGTTTAATTGCTGTTCCGTGTTCGCTTGGCGTTCAACAGGCCGGCTTTGTATGATTCCGCTCTCCCAGAGCGTGGGTGCCTAAACCCGAAACCCCAAGAGGCACTGTTCAAACCTACCCTAAACCTTAAACCTGAAAAACCCTAAGAATAGTGCCTTAAACTTATCCTACACCTGAAAAACCCTAAGAATAGTGCTTTAAACTTATCCTGAACCTGAAAAACCCTAAGAATAGTGCTTGAAACTTAATCCTAAACCTGAAAAACCCTAAGAATAGTGCCTTAAACTTATCCTAAACCTGAAAAACCCTAAGAATAGTGCTTTAAACTTATCCTGAACCTGAAAAACCCTAAGAATAGTGCTTGAAACTTAATCCTAAACCTGAAAAACCCTAAGAATAGTGCTTTAAACTTATCCTAAACCTGAAAAACCCTAAGAATAGTGCTTTAAACTTATCCTAAACCTGAAAAACCCTAAGAAAAGTGTTTCAAACTTATCCTAAACCTGAAAAACCTTAAGACTAGTGCTTGAAACTTATCCTAAACCTGAAAACCCTAAGAATAGTGCTTTAACCTTATCCTAAACCTGAAAAACCCTAAGAATAGTGCTTGAGACTTAATCCTAAACCTGAAAAACCCTAAGAATAGTGCCTTAAACTTATCCTAAACCTGAAAAACCCAAAGAATAGTGCTTTAAACTTATCCTCAGCCTGAAAAACCCTAAGAATAGTGCTTTAAACTTATCCCAAACCTGAAAAACCCTAAGAATAGTGTTTTAAACTTATCTTAAAAAACCTTAAGACTAGTGCTTGAAACTTATCCTAAACCTGAAAACCCTTAGAATAGTGCTTTAAACTTATAAACCTAAACTTGAAAAACCTTAAGAATAGTGCTTGAAACTTAATCCTAAACCTGAAAAACCCTAAGAATAGTGCTTTAAACTTATCCTAAACCTGAAAAACCCTAAGAATAGTGCTTTAAACTTATCCTAAACCTGAAAAACCCTAAAGAATAGTGCTTTAAACTTATCCTAAACCTGAAAAACCCTGAGAATAGTGTTTTAAACTTATCCTAAACCTGAAAAACCTTAAGACTATTGCTTGAAACTTATCCTAAACCCGAAAACCCTAAGAATAGTGCTTTAAACTTATCCTAAACCTGAAAAACCCTAAGAATATCGACAAAAACTTATGAAAAACCTGAAAAACCTTAAGACTAGTGCTTGAAACTTATCCTAAACCTGAAGACCCTAAGAATAATGGTTCAAACCTACCCGAAACCTTAAATGATGGTTCAAACCTGGGCTCAAACCACTCAGGTCTTCCAGGCCTTGAAGAACGCGCTAGGCGTTAAATTACTAGCTGGAGATTCAGGCTACAACAGGCTCGTCTGTGCCGCAGTCGTCGGGGACACGCTTCTCGCATGCATGCCATGTCTTCGGCTGGAAGACGAAGCAGCCGCAGACTTCGCTTTGTCTGGACCGGCAGCAGCGGAGCTGCAAATGCGTTTGCGTGCGCTACTGGTCGACGGCGGCCTGTTTTTGGCAGAGGCATCAGAGTCAATGACTCACACTGTGCTGCGTGCGATTCAGGGGCGCATCGTCTTTGTGAAGGCGGGTACGCCAGACGCTGGTGCAGTCTGCCTGCGCTGGCCAGCCCCCGGCCCTGGGCGATCTGCTCCGATAGCGAGGGCCAAGGAGTCACTTTGCATATATGTTTCCGTACTTGTTGCTTTGTTCCGAACAGGGGTTTAAAAAAATCCAAACAGTAAACCCTGCAAACCCCCCAGTCGTTGCCGTCCTCAAGGCTCTTTGCCGTTTTCGATGCCTATTTCCAGGCGAATTTTCCGATGTTCGAGGCCCGATCGTCTTGAACAGTATTGTTAGCTTGACTTGCAGCCTTGGGGCTGGTCGGCCCTGACAGGAAGCAAATGCTTTTGCTGCCTTTAACATCGATTTCCAGGGGCTTACCACACCAGACCGCTTCAAATTCATTCGATTGCTGTGCCATCGTTTTCAGCTCGATGTGAATGCCGTCTGGCGTCAGTTCATCGGGAATGGGAAAGAGTCAGGCCGGTTGTGAGTTCTCCATAATCATAAACTCAGTACGTACTGCTCTTAGAACCGATGGCCATTAGTACCCTGCCACCTTTTGCACCCCTGCAAGGCTTGCTGCACCGAGCCCGGTGGCATGGCTCGCAGGCCGGCTTAGCCCTTGCTGCTGCTTCGGTGCTGCCCGCAAACAGCAATGACAATGTACTGCGGCTTCGACCGCCTGAGAGCAGACACCAGCAAGCCTGGCTTGCAACCTGGAAAGAGCTTCGATCGGGACCAGCCAAACAGCTCATAGGCATATATCTGGCGTCATTGTGCCATGTTGCCTGTTTCAGAAGAGTTCTCAGTCTTCAAGCTTCTGTAGCAGTGAGCAGCATGAAGCCAGTTTTTGTAGTATCGACAGCCGGCAATCAATTTTTTGAGTTTGCAGCCGCTGTGCAGGAGTGGAACAGGCACGGTGGACCGCTGGTTGGGGCAACTCAGGAAAATTGAGAAATTCAGGAGCGTCATGGATCCCAGGGGTGTCCAAGCAGCGCTGAAACTGCTGGTGCAAGATGATAAAGGAAGACGCCGTGAGGAGCTGAATCCTCAGCAAATGCTGGTTTCATGCACGGCCAGAGTTGCTTCAGGAGGGGGAGGAGTGGCACATCCGATGTCCAGGTTTGGGCTTCGTGCGCAAAAGGTGTATCAGCAGCTCTTCGGTGAGACACGCTTGCCATCACGCGATCTTGCGCCACAGCTGCCAGGCGAGATTGCCAGAAAGCGTCTGCTCGCTGATCGGCCTCGACTGTCTCAATGCAGACCACGTGCAAAGATCGGCAAGTCTGAAGCTGCACTTATGGAGGAGCACGGCAGGTCCCTGTTGGCTGCAGTGAAGCGTGTTCATGAAGGGTCGGAAGCTGGCGCTGCTGATGGGCCGTTGGGGCGCATCGACCTCCCACCGGCGAAGCGCCCGAGACATGCTATGATGGAGGCAGCAGCGGCCGCTGATGACATGTATTTCAAGATGAGCTCTGGTTCAGAAGAGCGGCTGGACCCGTCTGAGGTGGCCGACGCACAGGGGGATGATTGCGCTGAGGCTTCCAAGGCTATTGCTTTCCAAAAAAAAGTGCTGCAGAAGAAAGTTGCGGTATTTGCTTCCGCAAAGCCAGGCGCGCCCGTGCCGTACGTGGATGCTAAAGGCGGCCTGATGAGGCCCGCTGCTAAGCCTCCTGTTGATCCGGGCCCAGCTCCACCGCTGCCTGAAAAATGCACTATTCTTTTCGCTCCTGGTCTGAATCCCCAACGACGCCTAGACTCTGCAAAATACAGGCGCCGCAAAGATGGCAATTATGCCCAGAGTACAGACATGGTGGTGGTCAGCAATCTGCATTTGCACTTTGAATCGCCTGAAGGTCTCTTTGCGCGGTTGCATGGCAGCTGCCTGCTCAGCAAGGCCTCGTTGGATGACCCTGAGAAGCATGCAGAGGAAAGAGTTGCTTTCAGAAGTTTTCTTACGCAAGGCAGGCCCGTCTGTGTTTGTGTTCACGACAGCTTCCAGAGCCAATATCCTGCCCACACAGACGTCCTGGTGAAGGCGGCCGATGTGAGCCCGACTATGTCCGATGGGAAGCGGCCACGGTTTGAGGTCCATCGGCTGGATAGCGCAGGAACTGTGCCCAGGGCAACGGCGCGGAATCGGCTTCTTGTTGGTGACTCATATGAGCGGCCACCTGCAGAGGAGTCGACCGCGGATAATGTCAAGATGGTAGTCTGGCAGATGACTGACCTGTTTCGGACGGTTACTTTAGCTTATGCTTCCTCCTCCAGCAGTGCGGCTGCCAGTCGGTCCAGCTGATGTAGCTCTTTGCAAGTGCACATACCCTCGTGTAAGTGCGGATCATCAATCATCATGACACTCCTGGAGTTATCTCTGGCCGACTATGTAGCCAACGACATAGGCCGTTCAGCACGAACAGTGCCTGTTTCACCCGTTTCAATGCTGGTCTGACATGCTGGCATGTGCATTGAAAGTCTTAAGGGACAGTGTCTATCACTCGTCGTCACCCTTTAAATCTTGCTATACTCTCCAGACTTTACTACCGCCTCACCCGGTTACTGTTGTGCTCTCCCTGAGGTCGCGCTGGAGCGCAATGCAGAGCAGGCCGCGTCAGGTCTTCACAGATCGTGGGTTGAAAGTCACACGCACACATACGAACATACATCGCTGGGATGATGTGTTGCCATGTCTGCCCATGCGGTCCTGCCTCATATTGGCCCCAAAATTGGCAGGTGTTGGTTGTGCTTCGAGGGCCTCAGCTTCTGCGGTGTGCGGCGCCTCAGTGAGGCTTGGGTACTGTTCATCGGACATGTACGATGGGTCCCTGTCGGGGTGTGGCCTTGTGCGGGAGATCGGGGTCTTGTTGAAGTACACATACACAGTCAGTAGATCAAGGAGGTTGCCTTAATTTAATAATACCCCACGCCCGGCAAGCAGGCGATAGTGGGCAACAATAGAGCTTGGCTAGTGCTTCCGGTGTACATGAAATAAGTGTAGTTTTTTGGTTTCTGGACGTGGCCATCACAAATATTGAAATGAAGGTAGGGTTTTAAGTTTAGAAACTCCACTCCACTATGCTTCCTTCTCTCAGAAAGGCAAGCCAGGGAGGTTCGTGAGTATGTTTCATTCAGGCTGGAGCCTTGCGACGGTTTGCTGGTCCGGGAGCCAAGTGCTCTTATCTGATGCATCGCAGTGGCCACCACTCATGGGCCTTTGTTTGGGTGTCTCTGCCTTCATGTGTCTCGCCAAAACAAAAATTTTCTCGCACGCCGACCCTGGCATGCAATCCGAAACAGGGGGGGCCTCCCCAGGGTCAGCCGCCGACGGCTGACCCTGCAGAGGCCGTAAGACCAGGAAGTGCAGGGATGTTTTGCTCGACCCCGAACCTTTGACCACAGCCTCCCTAACCGGAGGGCCTGCCCAGGGTCAGCCGTCGACGGCTGACCCTGGAGGACCCCCCTTAGTTAGGCACCTGCCTCCAGGGTTGCCGGGTGTAAAACATTTTTATTTTGCATACCTCTCTCTGAGTCTCTCTGTGTCTCTCTCTCTCTCTCTCTCTCTCTCTCTCTCTCTCTCTCTTTCTCTCTCTCTCTCTCTCTCTCTCTCTCTCTCTCTCTCTCTCTCTCTCTTTCTCTCTGTCCTTCTCGGTTTCTCTCTGTCTCTCTCCGTCTCTTCTTCGTTGTCTGCGCTGGCTATGTGAAAGCCCAGTCATGGTGGGATTGCGGCCCAGGCCGTCTGAAACGTGTTGCATGCAAACCCGCTCCAGGGTCAAGCGCCTGTGTGAGGTCACTTTTTGTGTGGGCCATGGGAAAGCGAGGTGCCGCTGCCCCTGCCCCCAAGTCTTCACCGCCTGCCAAGCAAAAAAAAGCAAATGGCGGGGCAGCCGACAAGGGAGAAACGGGCGAGGAGCACCCAACCGTTGCACTTCTCAAAGGTGCCCTCGACATCTTAAAGGATGAACTTGCAAGCGTTGCCGAATGTGATCCTGTTGATGCAGCCGGGATTGGGGCTTTTGACCTGGCCAGCTACAAACGCAACATGAAGAAGCACAACGAGTATGAGTGCTGTGTGGTGCTGACGGACATGAATGCTCTGTCGTTTACTCACACCTCCATACCGCCTGGGATGGGTGAGCGTCTTAGCCCATGTGTGCCATGTAGTCCACAGTGAACACTGTGCAGCTGGGCCTGCCCATCCCTTTGTGACTTCGAGCTGTGTCGAGGTGATGTGAAACTGAAGGCCAAGACGCTTTTCCAGGATGCTGCGGGTCACTGGGTTGCAAGGCCTCTGGCAGATCCCTCGTTCGTGCGGGCCACGTCTATGTGTGAACCGCCTCAGCCTGGAAAATTCGAGACCATGAACAAAGATGCGGAGCGTCGACCCGGCATGTTGTAGATTGGTGCCAAATTTCTCGCAGCCTAAGACAGGACTTAGTCTTGCGTTATACCGCTGCAGGCGCTGCCTTCATCTGGGCGTGGTCGGAGGCAGTTCGGAGCGGTGCATCGAAGGATGTGCGCAAGGCCTTCCAGCAGGCTGCCCTGTGCGTGCGCGTGACTTGTCGGACGCATCAGCCTGTGGCAGTCGGTGTGTTGTCTCGTTTATGTGGCCGCCTGGACCATCCCAAACAGGTAGGTTAAACGGTTGAACAACCGAGGTACGGTTCCATTACTATCCGTGCCCACAACAGTGTGAACGCCAAAAGTGGATTTTTTCCAGCCAGTCGAAGACAGACGCGGCCACTGAAGTTCTGAACGGCTGGCGCATGGTGCGGGCGCTTGGCCAGGTCAAAGCACTGATGGTGACACACGCCCTTCCAACATCTCCCGAGGACATCGAGAAATGGTTCCTCATCTGCGTGTCAATAGAAGATTGTTGTTGTTTCAGGCTTTGCCTACACATGCTCCGATCCCCCGAGGTTCACCGCCAAGGCAAACATGAGCGCCCGGACCATCAAGCTGTGTATCAGGGTGTTTGAGAGACTGGAATCTCTTGCCGGTGTGGACAACTTGGTTGGCCAGCTTGATGATGCATTTGGAACTCTGCACACCCTTGCAACGGTTGCCGGGCTTGAAATGCTGTGCTCTAGAACAAGCTGCCCGAAGAACAAGAAGCTTGAAGGTGAGCTTGTGCTTTGGAGCCTTGAACTCTGGGTCCAAGAGGTCAACCTTGGTCGTGTGAATCCAAATTCCAGCAAGGAGGTCCTGGCCAGCTGCATCAACAGATTCTTGCTGAAGAGGCGGTTGGTAAACTACATCGCTGCGAAAGTCAAGCAACCTGATGTGAAGGATGTTGTCTATGAGCCCAACAGGTCACCATCGACCGTGCTCCATGCGATTTTCACCAGCATGAGGGCTTTCAGAGAGTCGGGCTGCTCACAGGCAACATCTGCTGCCCCAATGACAATGCCCTGGCTGGCAGCCTTGCCTCAGCCACTCGATCACTCCGGATGAAGCATTTAAGACTAAGTTACAATTGCTGCTCCTCATTCATGGCTCACCATGCCGTCGCGATGTGCAAGCTCAGGTGTGTTCGCGCCGCCATGGACTTCTGTGGCAAGTTGCTTAGGGCGCATGCCGGGCTTGATGAGGTTCTCTCGGAAGAGGTCGCTCAGAATGCCATGGTTCCTGCGGAGAAGATCCTGTCACTGGCAAAGGTGAAGAGCCTCTTCGACATTGAGGGCGTGCTGGCTGCACGTGCCCAGGACATCGAGAAGGAGAAGAAAGAATCGGAGGCAGCTGAGGCGGAGGCCATCGCACGAGCCGCGGAGTCGACAGCAGAAGCTGCTGTTGAGGTCGCTCCGACTCCAGCTGAGCCTGCCGATGCAATTCAGGAGCACTTGCAGCCGGAGGCATGCGAGGATGATGCGCCGCAGACTGCCTCAAACGAGGATCGCGTCAAGATGTTCAACATGATTGTGGTGCCCCAGATGGCATTGGACCTTATCGCCAAGCTCGAAGATCAGAACTTCGAAGAGTTGGTTGATTACGCCAGCATGCGAGCCTTGTCCGTCTGTCATGTCTCAGACCCTGCAGCAAAAGCTGTACACACCACATGATCCTGTAACCTGTTTTTGCATATAGTTCCATTCCCCACTTCCCCAGGCATCAATGAGTTCCTGGACATCCGTGAGTGCCCCACGAATGGCAGCAGCAAGGATTACAAGAGCGTGCTGCAAGAGGCCGGCTGTGGTCAAGGCCCGCCGAGGGTGTACATCTACGATGCCAAAGCACATGTTCGTGTTGTTACAACAGACTCCGACCTGAGGGCTAACCCGTGGAAGCGGAGTGTGGCGCTAGACATCACTTCCACGAAGAATTGGCTTCATGCTCTCTTTGTGGACCCTGCCACCGTGAAAAAATCGAGCGAGAAGCAGCCGGTGCTGATGAGGAAGACAGACCTTCTCATGCTCTATGACGGCCGCTCGCAGCGGTCGTTCGCCGCCATGTCCTCTGAGATCGGCAAGATCATGCCACATGTGTCAAAAGAGCTCGAGTTGCCAAGTCGGCATTACACCCTTGTCCGTCGCATGTACCACAACAAGGAGTTCAGGGACTCCAGAAGCTTGTATGCGACGCGGAGCAGCTCTTTGAATGCCAAATCGGCAGAACCCTTGGAGATCGTCTTCTCCAAGACTTTGAAGCTCGCCCTCAGGAGCCAAGAGGACATCGCTGGCCAGACTACGGGCTCTGGGAGGATTGAAGACAACCGGTGCAGGGCTTGGTCCGACTTGGCGATGAAAGCAGAAGAATCTCAACTCTTGAGTCAGGTCTCTTTTCCAGTCTACGAAAGCATGCTGGGTAGCCGGGCCGGCGGCGGCGACAAGGGCGGCGACTCGCTGCACAGTGCCGTGGGCGACGCGGACGAGGACAGTGACAATGGTGACGCAGCGGCTGCTCAAGTACCACCCGAGGCTCGGATGTTCGTTTGCCCTTGGGAGGCGCACGAGGACGACATGGCCCTTGCCTACCATCTGTGTCGGCCAGAGCATGGACGCTTGGTGATTCTCACCCCAGGCAGCGGAGAGAGTGCTCTGGCCGCGGTCAGAGCGAAGATTCATGCAACCCTTCTTTGCGAGAACGGCGCACACAAGCAGGTTGTGTTCCAAACGATCCTTCTCAAGATCGTGGTGGCTATGATCTCGGGAAACTCCCCTGGCTTCAGCTTGGGCCGTCGTGTGCTCTCACGGGTGAAGAGTCTGAATGGGGATGACAGTGTTGAGCCACCGAAGCCGTCAGGTGGCCAGATTTCCCGGGCTGCGTCGTATCAGTTCATGACTCCAAGCCCGAGCAAGCCGAGGCCGTTCGGGAGCCCGGCAGCGACGAGCCCGGCAGCCACCGAAGGTGTGCAGGCAGAGTCAGAGGACGCAGGGCATGTGAGTGACGAGTCAGGTTGGGTGCCGTCGGGCGACGAGGCGGCATCATAGTAGGTCTTAGGTCCTGCCGTACAGTCGGTGCGTTCAGCGTTTTGCCGCACAGCGCATCACCAGTGCAAGCTTCCATGCCCAAGCGTCCGAATAAAAACTACGATAGGCATGCAGTACTGCAACTTGCTTGGTGTTCCTCCGCTTGGCCTCGGTGTTGCGCTGCGCTTTGCTGCTCCACTGAATCTACAAATTGGTTTGGCGCGCTCTGAGAATACCACAGAAGCGAGATACAGGCTCTTTTTCGCTGCCATATGACCATGTGCTGCTGTGAGCTTCTGTCGCGCTGAGCTAACTAGCTAACTGTTTGCCCAGGTGGCTGGCTGGCCATTGCTGGGCCCTTACTTTAAATAAGCGAAGCTGAAAGCCAGTGGCGCTATCAGGGGTTTGCTGAAAGTTGCTGCAGGCATGGTTTTCTTGCTCGGGGAGTCTCTCATTGTCATGGCTTGTATATGTAAAGCTGTGCTCAAGACAAGCAAGAGTCGACGAAGAGTGCAAGCCATGTCAAACTCGGAAGGTGTGCGTACTACTTTGGACTTGCAATGCATCTCCTAACCTTGCAAACAGTTTGCGCTGCCTTCAGCTCGACAGTCAAAATTAAGTCCTTCTCCCTGACCGTCGTCGACAGGGGGGCCGAAAGCCAGGTTGAGTACACCAACGCTTCTGGCGAGTATCGCGGCCTTTCACGCAGGCCCTGAGGCTTGGGCGATGATGACAGCGGATGTGATGGTTTACCAGATGGTGGACCATGACGATGATTTGAGTCGTCTCCGTGTCATGCTTAGAAGCTGCGTCACCCAGGCCAGGTTTAGGGTTTAGTGAAGGGTTAAAGGGTTAAAGGGTTAAAGGGTTAAAGGGTTAAAGGGTTGAAGGGTTAAAGGGTTAAAGGGTTAAAGGGTTAAAGGGTTAAAGGGTTAAAGGGCTAAAGGGCTAAAGGGCTAAAGGGCTAAAGGGCTAAAGGGCTTAGGGTTTAGGGCTTAGGGCTTAGGGCTTAGGGCTTTGGGCTTTGGGCTTTGGGCTGAGGGCTGAGGGCTTAGCTTACGGTTGCAGTCCTAATCTGTCTCAGGTTTGTGTGGCTCCTTCTGCCATTCTCCACAAGTCCCGTCTGAGCTTGCTGGAGCAGAGCTAGACTGCATCGTCCACGAGCTTTGAAAGCATGATCTCTAGTTGAGGCTTCAGGGGCAGGTGCCGCAAAGCTTTGGCACGAGCCCCCTGGCTCTGCGTAGGCAAATGAAGAAGATCGTGTCTCCATCCTTTGATGCTCCAGACCTCGCCAACACACATGGAACGAACCCGTGTGCTTCCAGTCGTCTCGTCTTTGTAGCCCAGAACGACATTCGTGAGGGAGGGAGGCACTTTCACAAAGAGTGACGGGTGCAGCGACTTGGGAAGGTAGCTTGCGGAAGCCATGACAACGCGACGGGCACGGAGTTCGGTGACATATCAGTCAAGTGTGCCAGCTTTCGCTTGCTCCCTGTCTCACCTTCGGTGTCCATCATCAAATGACTTGCCAGCAAGGCCTGCTGGGGGCTGGGCTGCTGTATGTTGCCGCTTTGCAGCGGCAAGCACCAGTGCGTTCAAAATGTGAGAAGTGAGAACAACTGTTGTGACTCCAATTTAACAGTTCCTTTCTCAGTTTGTCCATAGCACGCCCAGGTCCACATCATTGCCCCGCACGCGCTTGGAGGCAATGCTTTTTGGGTTGAACAGCAATTTCATCTATCAGAATCTATCAACATACTTGGTGATGAGCAAGAGCTGTTTGCTTTGCCTCAGCACGAGTTTCTTCCTGGCGGCTGAATGTGGCTTCTGTGTCTGCGATGTCTCTGTCTGCTGGCTCAATCAGGGCTTCGCTGAAGGTCAGCAGTATCGTTTCCATCAGTGTGTGGTTTGTGGTAGGTGTCAGTGTTTCTTTGCCTTTTGGAGGCATGGGCAAGTCAAGCGCAGCTTGCAAGCGACCTGCTGCTGCAACCAAGACGGTTGTAAAAAAGGCTCCAGTGCAGCCAACGATTACAAAGGCTGCCTTTGATCTTGAGAAGTTTACACACTTGATGGAGCAGGTGCTTGGCGCCACTGAGGTGGCAACACAGGCTCCCAACATCATCTGGGCGTCAGGCTTTGATGGGATGAACACAGTGGGTCGATGCATTGATTCGCTATTTGGTTCGGATGGAAACACACAAGCCTTCGGAGCGGAAATGTCTGAGAGCTCCGCAGCGTTTGCTCTGATGTGCACAAATCCGGGACACGTGTTCAAGGACAGGTTTTGGAAAATCACAGTTACGGCTCATTCAAAGGGGAATCGTGTCTGAATGTAAAGTCACACTGCATTCTTCAGACTCTGATTCTTGTTGTTTCCAGCAGGATGTGGCGATGACAGCCAAGCAAGGCGGCTTTTGCTTGAAACACGGGCGCAAATGCCAATGTGTAGTCCGTGGATCTGGAGGCACAGCCGCTTTGCAGCTCTACACAGCTGGCTTTACGTGCAAGTCGAACAGCGTGAGAAGCCTCAAACGCTGGGTTCAGAATCCACTTGAAGAGAGCAGCAGCAGCTCTCAAGCGTTCCACCTGGCGGTGAATGCCATCCGCCGACATGCTCCGGACTTTGTGGTGCTTGAGAATGTCCTCGGGGCGAGGACAGGGTGGGAATTTTAGAAGCCCTCAACCCAAAGAGACAGAACTTGTGCGGGTTGAGCCGCGGCCGCGTGTTCGAACCAAGGAGGCCATCGAAGCCCAAGGATGGCGGGCCGAGCGAAGCACCTATCGATAGGTACCGTGGCATCTTGGCCAATGTTCCGGGGCCGTATCAGTGGGAGGACCTGGATGTGACTGGCAGACCGCTTCCTGAGAAGCGTGATCGATTGATCATCTTGGGTGTCAAGCAGTCTGGCGGCCACTCATCATTCACCGCGACAAAGTGGAAGGAGCAGATCCTGTTGCTCGAGAAGGCCTCGGATGCCTTGCCGATTCACTCTATGGTGGGCATGATTGAGAGTTCGAGGCCAAGGGAGAGTTCAAGTACCAAACCGACAAGGAATGCTCAGAGCTGGACGGACGAGAGCAAGTACCATCAGTACTTTTCCGAGATACTTGGGAAGGCTGTGAGCGCCAAGAAGATCCACGACCCGAAGCCGGCTCCAGTTGCTGAACGGGCATCGCGCCGTTTCCAGCTGCAGACAGCCACTGCGTGGCAGCAAGCGAACGCAGATTGCTGTGAGATACTCCTCAAGCAGCAGGCGGAAGCTGGCGGGTGGACCCTGGAGAGCGAGGAGCTGCATCCACTCTTTGACCTGAGCCAGACCTGCGGGCATGGACACGCGACTCTCTTCCCAATTTGCTCAACACTTGCAACATCAACACGCATCTTCAGCTTGCGTACTGGTCAGTTTCTGTCGGGAGAGGCACACCTGAAGACATTTGGCATCATTGAGTAACCATGCTTTGGTTTGGTTCCCAGTACACTAGCTGCATGACCCGAAATTTGGAAAAGGATGCTCGGCTGGGACGCCGGCTCGATGCCATCCACGTGTTTCAGTGACACGGAGCTGTGCACGATGGCCGGAAACGGCATGGCATTCAGCACCCTCATCAAGGTTTTCCTACCGCTGCGTAAGCACTTGGAGACCAGGACCCATTGACAGCATGCCTCAGTATGCCTGCACCATAGGCCCAGCGGGCCCCGTTTTGATTCGCAGCAATGCGTTTTGCTTTCAGATCTCTGTGCTGAGAATCTGGTTGGACAAGCGACACCCTGTACTCCGACGGGCGCTGCGTCGGAAAGCAAAACAATCCGATTTCGTTGCAGTGAGTCACCGTGCAACATAGGAGAGGTAGCAGGTGTTGCTCACCTTTCACGTCCATGAAGCTTGCCGAAACGACTGGCAGCATTGTGATTTCTTCCTGAAGTGGCCTTTGAAGCTGCTGTCGCGAGGCCACGCCTGGTCAGTGTTGGCGGCGATGCTTGTCAGAGGCTGGGCGCGGTTAGTTGAACACACACTGTCAAAGTGCCCTGTGCATAATAACAAGTCACAGCAAGCAACAGGACAACTAGAAGCCTAGAAGCTGGCCTTATGAATGATCCGTGGAGTATGTGCAAATGGCTGTGCCAGTGATGCATTCCATGTTTCTGACAACAGATTGACATGAGCTTTCTGAAGCACACATGTGTCGCCAGCTGCCCCGCCAAGTTGCGATCGATTTTCATGGCTCAGTCAACCTTTGCCTTGACTGTGTGCTTCAATAGGCTTTGCCCTTTGTCAGCCATCCATTCATGAGAATGGCGGTCTTTTGGTGCGGATCGTGCATCAACGCCGCATCGGCTCTGGGAAATGGCTGTACCCATGTGGTCTTTAGCAACGAAGAACAGGCCAGTCTGTGCCGCATCCGGTACCGGAACATGTTTGCAGATGTGGTCACAGCTTCGAGGCTTGCGGAAGGTTGTTCGCGTGGTGCCTGTCTTGTCGGGTCACCCAAAGATAGAAGCATTGCCGAAGTCATGGACTTGGCAAACAAGATCGAAGTTGATGTGGTTGCTTTGGCGCTGTGGTGGCAGCCAGCCAAAGCAGTCGAGCAACCTGGCTGGAGCGTCGCCTGCAAATTGGTTCTATGGGAAGGCCTTGGTGGCCCTTCCTGCGGCTTCAATTTCTTGGTCCTCATGCGCAAGGGAGAAGGACATGGCAAACATTTGCAAGAGGTGCTGGATGCTGCAATTGCAAAAGCCAAGCCGTGGCGCAAATTCGTACCGGATCCGAAATCTTCGACATCAACTTTGGAAGCTGTAGTATCTCTCCCGAAGCCTGAACCCAAGGAGGCGGCTGCGGCTGCGCAAAGTGCCACAGCCCCGCAGCCTGCAAGTGAGGATACTTCGGAAAAGAAGCCTGCAACTGAGGATGCTTCGGAAAAGATGCCCAAGAATCTCGATGCATTGAGGGCCGCTTGTGCGCAGCTCCAGAGTGTTGCTGGGAACAAGCGTCCGTGGTACATTCCAGTTGTGAGTGGCAGCAAGAAACCGAGAGTCGTTTCTACTGTGCCGCCAGAGTTCAAGGCGAGAAACATTGTCTTGGCACGGATCGATTCCGGGATCTGCCAGTTGGGCGCAAATGAAATGTTGCAGATCCTCGGATGGGATTCCGACCAGATCAATGTTCATCTTATGCCGTCAGCCTGTCGGCCAGCGGTCATTGCAGCTTCAGTCCCAAAGCCCGTTGCGGAGATCCTCCTAGCAGCAGCTGTGATGGATGTGGGGCAAGGCAAAGTGTCGGACTGTCAGATTCCATCCGTTGACACCGTCAGAGGTGAATCGTCATTCGGTCCAATTGTTTGACTCATGGAACCGAAGTTTTGCTTGGGTGGATGATGACAGATGACGAAAAAGGTGTCGCGCTGCACCAGTGCCGTGCAGCAGAGGTTCCGTAAGAAATATCAAACCTTGAACACATCAACATGGCTTCCAAGCAAATTGCTGCTCATTCCTGAAGGCCGTCGTCTGCCCCAACTTCGACCTTCTTCTTCGGAGGCGCCTTGCAGTGAATTCTTTGGTCAGTTCGTCCGGTTTGGATACTTTGTAGTGATCGCTTGCAAGCGGCTGGAGTCAGTGTCCCGTGTGTACTCCTCGTATTGTGCCACCTTGGAAACTAGTTTTTGGGCACTTTAAGGAGCTTCTGCAGGTCGTCGCTGGTGAAGGCAGCTTGTAAAATTAGGTGTGCTCGATCGGTCTCTTCCGATGGTTCGCAGCTCCCGATTCAGTGTGAAGCACAGATCGATACGTAAAGACATCTTGCTGTCTTGGCATTTTTCATGCAGTGGCAGTCCCTAGGATGAAAGGCTCCGACTATGACTGTAATTTAAATGTCCTCGCCGACATTGCCCTCACCGAAATTCACACAGAGAGACACGACTGGAACACAGGCCCTCCGCTGATTCATGGAGCGGGCGGCAGCAAGGGCTACCAGCTCGAACGGCAAGTCAGTCCGAATGACAAGACCGTGTAGTCGTGCTGTTAATCATCTACTGTACTAGCCGGGAGTTCCTCCATTTCATTGTGCCGACACGCTTGCATTGATTTTGTTTTGCGCTTGGCTTTGCCACTGCATCGCTGGATTAACCTTGCAAGTGATGTCAGACCATACTGAGGCTGAGAACTTGGGCAAGCCTCCTCGCTTATTGTCCTGCCGCCGTGATTCGAGCAGTGTTGCTCAGGGTTTTGCCAGTAGAGTTTGTGTCTCAGCTCAGATATTTGGTGCTGTCTGCGTTGGTGTGTTTATAGAGTGAACCACACACCCAGTGCTGAATGCATGCGGCCTGCTTATGATGTTTGAGACTGGCGTCATTCGGCAGCGCAGCTAGATCTTCAGCAGCAGGGGAAGACAGTTCTGCCACAGAGCCCTGTGCCAGGCAGCAGCTCACATAATTTCAGATAATGTTCTTTAGAGTTGTAAGGTTGCTGGCTCCTAAATCCTTTCACCTAGTACCTAAGCCGGAAATACTGCGTGCCAATCATCTTTTACGCACTTGTTGTTTGGCCGGCATCAGGCACGTGTCCTTGGGGCTTACGTGCGCCATGGTCCGCCGAACCAACAAATCGCTTGGCATACCTCGACCTCCCTCGCCATACGCGGTCTTCTCAAGTCACGTTGCCCGGGAAGGCACCAGTTACCCGCCGCCGCGGCGTCTGGTGAAGAAGCAGTTCTGCAAAACCCAAACGGCTATGCGACTCCGGTGGTGCTTGCCTTAGTCGCTGCCTTGAGGAACACATTCGACATGTATAGTCTCGCCCTGCACGTTCATGTAAGACAGAGGGATGATTTTCTACAAAGCTCATTGATTTGTGTCAGCCATGTCAATCACCATGCTGACTGAGGAAATCAATGGATGCCAAGGAGAAGGCCAAGTTCCAGCAGGAAGCAGCTAGCAAGTCTGCCGATGCTCAGCGGGCCCGTGGCGCAGTGCTGTCCCGTGCACCTCCGGAGCCAAAGCCAACTGCAGGGGAGGTTCAGTTGGGGACTCGAGTGGAGGTGTGCTGGCAATGCACAACGCTGGAGGCCACGCGTCTCATTGGAGAAGGGGCGTATGGCAGCGTGTACGAGTGCCAAAGCGCGGCAGGTGCGAGGTACGCCGTCAAGCTCTATGGGAGGAGCGCCGGAGAGAACCTTGACAACGAGGCTGCCGCGTACAAAAGGCTGAGTGCTCATCCGAACATTCTTGCTTTGTGGGGAGCTGTGACAGCGACTACAGATGACAGACTGGGTCTCATCTTCGAGCTGGGGCATCCTTTGTCAGAGTACCTTCGGGATCGCCGCCTTCCTTTGCAGCTTGATCGAGAGCCAAAGTCGCTGGCCAAGCAACTTCGCGTTCGCTGGCAAGTTGCGGTGCAGTTGTCACAGGGCTTGGACTTCATGCACAAGCTCGAAGTCATCCACTGCGATGTCAAGGTTTCTAATGCGATCGTGCAGATGGACACAAACGTCGTCAAGTGGTGTGACCTTGGCCTTGCTTCCCGAAGCGGCACGTTTGTGGTGGCCAATGAGAAATATACAGCTGTTTGCCGTCCTCCAGAGCTGGGTCAGATCGGTGATAAGAGCATTCGTATTGCTCCGTCTGCAGATGTGTGGGCTTATGGATGCACGGTGTTCTCTGTGCTGAGCGCCTCCCCTGCCGCATACTTGTTCCCAGATCGGTCAGTCTTGTACTGCAAGAAGTTTGTCACGACACGCTTGAGCACAGCTGTGGGACACGATGTGGAAGGTCAAAGAGTCATATCTCAGATGCTCAAGCAGTCACCGCTTGAGCGAATTTCGCTGGCAAGCTTCATGTCCAAAGGATTGGAGCGCATCCGTGTCTGGTCATGACGACCTTTGGATGCTGGATGTTATTAGGGGGGGGGGGGGGGTCGAGACCTGTTACTGTTGAACAGGCGCCAAAAAAGCTGGTTGCACCTCAGCTTCAACTGCCGAGAAGTTTTAACAGCATCCTCAAAATACAAGACTCGCTGCTGTTCCAAGCGACATGTGCCAGTGCCAGGGTGCGATGCCACAGAGTCGCTCGGGGCCAAGCTGCGGCATCTGTTGTAGTAGGACGGGTTAGCTGAGTGTCAAGCCGTCAGGCCAGCAGGTGTAGAGGTTCCGTGCTTGTCAACCTCGAGGTGTTCTCACACATGATTGATGTTAGACTGCCCTGAGGCGTGGCTCCATGGATGTGAGTGCCATCAGCATTCATCCGTTGCTTCAAGAGTCGGTGCTGTGTTGCAGAGCTACCCCAGACAATTTAATGTGTAAGTGGCAACATCTCCAGAGTCTGCTGCTTACTGGCGTTTTGCTGCGGAGCTAAAATGGTTTGCCAGGGAGACATGCACTGGGCATGCTACATTTACGGTCCGCCACACTTAGCCGTATACCGTGCTGGCAACATGGCCCTATAATTGCCATTAAATTTTAAATTTTTGTTTGGCCTTGAACTATGCCCAAGAAAAGGGTACCCGTTACTTGCCTAGGCTACTCCTGGGCCTAGTAGGTGTGGCAGGCAGTTGAGGGTTTCAGGGTTTCGGGGTTTCAGGGTTTCAGGGTTCTCGGGTTGTAGGGTTTCAGGGTTCTAGGGTTTTAGGGTTTCAGGCTTTTTAAGTTTTAGGGTTTGGGCTTTCAGGTTTTAGGGTTTTAGGGTCAAGAATTCGTGAAGTTTAGGGGGTAGGGCTTAGTGCTCGTGGCTGCAATGTCAGGCTGGCGTGGCGCGGCTAAAGCCGCGAAGCCTAAATGCGACAGGCCTAGAACCTGCACAAGCCCCAAGCCCTAAGCCCTAAACCCTAAACCCCTAACCCCTAAACCCTAAACCCTAAACCCTCAGCCACAGACACTCAAGACTGGCTCCCGCAGCGCCGAGGCCTCTGTGGCCATCCGTCGGGACAAACGTGCGCAGGGTTTAGGGTTTAGTAAGGTTTAGGGTTTAGACCCAGGATTTGGGGTTTAGACCCCGAACCCTAAACCCGTAGCACCCCAAAACCCTACACCCTAAACCCTCAAAAGCCCTGGAGGCCGAATATACCCGAGGAACACTACATCCTAGCCCTAAACCCTAAACACTAAACCCTAAACCCTACAAACCCTAAGAAACCCCAAACCCTTAAGCCCTTGTATACCCGACTCGACCCAAAGCCTTAAATCTTATGTAGCCAGTGAGCACGAAGTCCTAGGGTTTAGGGTTTAGGGTTTAGGGTTTAGGGTTTCTGGTTTGCGGAAACGCCCCAGGTGCGGAACCTGTCCTGGACGGAGGATGCGGCCCGGGCCCCAAGACCACTAAACCCTAAACCCTAAACCCTAAACCCTAAACCCTAAACCCTAAACCCTAAACCCTAAGCCCTAAACCCTAAACCCCTGAGCACCCGGATGGTCCTATAGTCCCTGCTGTCTAATCCCAAAACCCGAGCCCCTAAACCCTAATTCCTGACTCCTGAGCCCTAAACCCTCATTCTTGATTCCCAAATCCTGAAATCTAGGTGGGTGGTTGTCAAAACTATGATCCCTTTGCGGTACCCTAAATATTAGGTGCCGTCTTATCATAGGGATGAAAAAAGGAACTATATATTTGACAACCACCCAGGTGGAGGCCCTGTCGCCGTGGGACCCTTGTTCATTTTTGTTGGGGTTTAGGGTTTAGGGTTTAGGGTTTAGGGTTTAGGGTTTGTTGCCTCATGAGCGCCATTTGAGCTGAAACGGGTGATCTTTTTGATTATTTCCGAAAATAGCAGAGCAGGCCCCCAATCAAGCCTTCTGCCCTTTTTGTTGGAGTTTGGGTTCCCGTATAAGCCCCTGTAAACCACAAAGGGCAACAATTTTATTGCTCGGCTACTCTTGGGTCGAAATAAACGTTCTCCTATTGGCCAGGGCTGTGCCCGGTCCTTCCATGCAGCCCCTCTGTTGTCAACCCTAGACGGAGCCTGAAACCCTGGCAGGTTTAGGGTTTAGGGTTTTGGGTTTAGGGTTTAGGGGTTAGTGTCCTTCTTTGCCAGGACGAACAGACGACCACCACCGAGAGCACCACCACGACAACCACCTCCACCGAGGAACTCCTCCTGTCGCGTAGGGTTTAGGGTTTACGGTTTATAGGGTTTAGGGTTTTGGGTCTAGGGTCTAGGGTTTAGGGTTTGGGGTTTAGGGTCTAGGGTCTAGGGTCGAGGGCTTGGGGTCTTGGAGTTCCCTTTTCATCCTACGTTGTTCTGGAAACCTAGTTGGCTGCCTGGAAGTTGGAGGGTTTTAGTCAGGACTGCGCTGCACTGTGGGGCCCGGGTTTGTGAGACTCGATTCTATTTAATGTTGGTCAACTTGGGTTTGTTAAACGAGTAGTTCTTCATTGAGGTGGGGAGAAAAAAGATAAGCACCCCCGCCTGCTTCTAAACTTACACACAGCCCATGCTAAACCTAAACCCTAAACTCTAAACCCTAAACTCTAAACCCTAAACCCTAAGCCCTAAACCCTAAGCCCTAAGCCTTAACCCCCAAACCCTAAACCCTAAACCCCAAACCCGAAAGCCCTAAACCCCAAGCCCCAAACCCTAAACCCTAAACCCTAAGCCCTAAACCCTAAACCCTAAACCCCAAACCCTAAACCCTAAGCCCTAAACCCTAAACCCTAAACCCTAAACCCCAAACCCTAAACCCTAAACACTAAACCCGAGGGATGAACCACGCAGCCCCATGTTTCTGAAAGGAGGAGGAGACGTCCACCAGCACCGCGGCCGAGCCCACGCAGCACAAGGAATCTTGGCGGGCAGAGAGGAGGGGGGTTTAGGGTTTAGGGCTTGGGGTTTAGGATTTAGGGTTTAGGGTTTAGGATTTCGGGTTTAGGGTTTAGGGTGCTCGGGTGTGTTCGGGTGTTGGGGCGTTGTTGTGGGGTCTTCGGGTTGTTGGGCTTTCGGGTTTTGGGGCTTTGCAGCCTTCGTGTGTTTGGGTCTTTTGTTTCGAGCTCCCGGCATAGGGTTGAGAGTGGCTATTGGCCAGGGCTTGTCATACCCTCTACACCCGATGTGTTTCGACGTGCGTCGGTCGATACCCCCTCCTGCCACCACTCCTCTCTAAGACTCTACGCCCTAGCCCTACACCCTGAAACCCGAAACCCTAGGCCCCGCAACCCTGACTCCTGAACCCTGAAACCTGAACCCTAAACCCAAAACCCTAAACCCTAAACCCTAAACCCCGAAAGCTTCAACCCAAGGCGAAGAAATCCGGAGATGGGCCCCTGGGCAGCAGTGGCCGTCACGGGGTTGCGTTGCCCTGGGTAGGTTCGGGCTTTAGGGTTTAGGGTTCAGGGTTTAGGGTTTAGGGTTTTAGGTAATGGAGGGTTTGGCATGCTCTCCCTTATGGGGTTTTAAGCAGGTCTTGCTTAGGAGCATGTTGTATGGCGATTTCCGAAATGGGGGCACTTTTGTGGGTGGCTCCTATCATCACATCAGGATTGTTGCATTTCGGTGTATATGTGGGGCACCCTTACGCCCGAAACCCCAAACCCCAAACCCAAACCCTAGACCCCAAACCCTAAACCCCAAACCCGAACCCACAAGGGTTCAGAAATTAGGGGAATCTACAGCGACTCCCTACAAAAAGAGCTTACGGGAGCCCTGCTCTGGGTCGCCCTAGCCTTGATTACGGAATGGTTTGGTTTGGGGTTTCGGGTTAAGGGTCTAGGGTGTAGGGTTTGTTTACGGGATAGGGTTTTCGGATCAGGATTTGGGTTCACCGTCTTGGGTTTGGTACATATTGGCCCAGATAACTCATTGAACGATATTTGGTCCCTTGCAAGGAACAGACCCTAAACTGAGTTTGGGCCTCTTTACGCAAGAAGTGCGCCTCAATCTAAATTTAGGTCGATCTGAAGCCCTGAAACCCTAAACCCTAAACCCTGAACCCTGAACCCTGACCCCTAAACCCTAAACCCTAAACCCTAAACCCTGAACCCTGAACCCTAAACCCTAAACCCCGAACCCACTTCTTCAGGGGGGGTCCTCTGAGGCCCTCGCTGTTACACCCATCTCAGCCGCTGTTTGCAGGGATGACACCGGCGGCAAGGATGGCAAGGACAGCTGTAGGGGCTTGCCCTAAACCCTAAACCCTAAACCCTAAACCCTGAGCCCTAAACCCTAAACCCTAAGCTCTACACCCTAAACCCTAAACCCTGAACCCTACACCGAAACTCTAAACCCCAAACCCTATTCGCGGAAGGCTCCCTAACCCAGAGCTGTAGGGAGCATACCGCCACAAACGATAATCAGATTCTGGGTTTTGGGGCTCGAAGTTATATCCCCGAAACCCTAAACCCTAAAGCCCTCAAAATTCACAGGACTGTAGACAACTCTTGGAGAACCACATGCCAGCGGCTGACGTGGCGCGCGCCGGCTATACTCTGAATCAATTCGACAGGATCATTACATTCTTCCTTGATCCCTAAACCCTAAACCCTAAACCCTAAACCCTAAACCCTTAACCCTAAACCCTAAACCCTAAACCCTAAACCCTAAACCCTAAACCCTAAACCCTAAACCCTAAACCCTAAACCCTAAACCCTAAACCTCATCTAAGGCACGCGTTCAAGCCTGAGGCTTTTGGATAGCAGCATGCTCGCGACACGCAAGGGAAGCTGCGTGCTCTGCAGTTTGTAGCGCAACCCAACCAGGCGAGCTGAGAGAATCCTTCAAGCATGCGCGTGAGAAAGACATGTAAACCCTAAACCCTACACCCTAAACCCTAAACCCTACACCCTAAACCCGAAACCCTATAGTACTGCCAACTACTGAGTCCTTCGTTGCGAATGCTGGCGAACATGGCCCGGCAAATCGTAGAATCAAGCGTTCACCTCGGGGAATGCA